GTGATCGTAGGTGTTGCCTCAAAAGGGCTACGAAGAAAACTCCTCGCATTTATGCATCTTTACGTAATTACAATTGTACGTACGATATTCGGAAATAAATACGTTTGTGAACGATCAATCAGAGCATGATTTTTTGTGAATTTATTCATTGTATTGTTACACTGTTAGAAATGTAATCACGAGCTTCCTTTACGTGTAAATGAAGCTCATGGTTATGAATAAAATTAAAAGTAATGAATGATTTAACTGAAAATTAAATTACAGTAGTTACTTAAATGTAATAAACGTGTACATTAAATTTATGAAATTTAATGTACTTTTAATAAAACTTTATGAAAAGTACATTGAACATGTACATAAATATATTTATAATTTAATAATAAATTAATATTTTATTAACTTATTTTTATTAACTTATTTTATAAATAATATATTTAATTTAATAATATATTTTATTTATTTTATTAATATAATAATTTAATAATAAAACTGTACGTATGTATGTGTAAGCTAAGCAATTCACGCACGGACGCAAAAGTTAGTAGATGGTCAAAGGAGGGTAGCATCTTTTGGGCTGATCCCGCAAATTGGAACGGTAGTTCAATAGCGGCGCCGCATCTCGAGCGCGTTCCCTGCAGTTATGACAACATTGTCTTGCCGAGTGAGAATCGTACTTTGAGTATTCTCCTACCTGTAAGAGAGATAGGAGTGAAATCAATTCGGCTAACAAACGAGAGCCAGCCGTTTACCGAATGGGAATGGCAAAACTTCCAAGATCGTAGAGAGTTTTCCAGAGGCAGGTTTACTGTAAAGTAAGCCCGAACATAACGTTTGCTGCGCTCTCGCAAATAGAATTCCATATGGTAAATCATATTTTATGAAAAAATATGTTTTTAGATACAGTGACATGGTATGGCGACCTGTAAGTACGCTCGATTGTAAGAAAGTTTTCTGCCAGGGAAACACTCAGGATGATTATCTTGAGGAGATTTGTGCCATTCAGAGGCCAAGGTGTGGATTTATGGGCTGCGAATATCCTCTTACGGTGAGACTCTTTAACTTAACTAGAAATACCAACATTTTTTATACTACATTAAAAGCAAATAAATTATTATATATATGAAAATAATTAATATGAAATAATATATGAAAACTATATATGTATATGAAAATAAAGAAAGTAACGAAAAATATTTATTAGTAAACAGATTTTATTGTGACTTTTTTTTGCTAAAGAAGTAATAGTCGCTCGATATTTTTGATGTTAAAATTTTAATTGATTTATTACATATTTCCATTATTATTTGACTAGTATAATTTATTTTGCGTTTTAGGTAGAAGGTCACTGTTGCTCGTATTGTGGCGGACGCGTGTCCATATCGCAGCAGATTTCCTTAACCACAGTACAAACCGTGGCGGACGAAGCTTTAGAAGGATACACGGAAAAGGTTGCTTGGCACACCAGATGCACTTGGAATGGAGGTGTAGAAATACTCATAAAAGAAAAAGGGGATTATTCCGGCATTACGATAGAGGAAGCCGTAGAGAATTTACGGGAAATGCTGCAAAGTCAGTATATAGTTATTCAATTTTCTTTTAAATTTCTAACAAATTTTTGAATAATATTATAATCCGAAAAATTGATTCGTTTGTGCTATAAGCAAAAGTTAAACGATTACAATTTTTCAAAAGCAATTTTATCGCGTAAATCGTAATATCATGCAATTACAAACGTACAAACAAAATGGAGATATGAAAAAACGATAAAATCTTTTATTTATCTTGTTTTCATTGTTCACCAATATGGATTACATAATCGTTAACGCCTACAATTGTCGATTCTTGGTTTTTTAATCCAGTTTTATTATTAGAATGTATATTGACCATTGTCAAGCAATATCTTGCTTTTATTCATTCGTTTATTAAAATATAATCTATTTATTATAAAAAATTTAGTTACATGTATCAATATGTACATACAATTATTATATATACTTTTATTAAAATTATTTCCATATAAATATTTAAATATTGTTTTGATTTTTTAAATGCAGTTTAGAAATTATTTAAAAAATGTACATACATTACAAATAAATATTTTCTAAAAATTTTGTCTAATGTTATTTAATTATTTTAATTTTAATCAAAGAATTTTTAGCAAATAGAGAGATAGAAAAACGTAATTAATTGCTACTGAGGAAATAAGTTCTTTATTTTTTTTTGAAAAGAATAAAATTGATTGATAAGATCTTTTCTTTATAGAAATGCTATTTTTTATTTATTTCTTTATTATTAGATACAGGAATCAATGTGACAAATGCGGAGACGGCGGGTGCAGCAATGAAAGATACTCGATTGGCCGTTACGCTTGGACCGCTTTTCGGGATCCCTTTCGTCATAATCACTCTTCTTCTGTTGGCCTTTCTGTATTTTGGTTATTCTTTAGAGCAGTAAGTAGATATCATCGTTCTATCTTCATCTTTGTGGTGCTTTGCCATGAATACTTTCCGTTACGGAAAGTATTGATCTGACAGGATTGCAAGCTTGCATTAGAACTAAATTTAATCTACCTGATATTCTCTCTGAAATTTCTTTAGAAACTCTCTGGAATACTTTTAGAAATGGAACAAAATAGGAATTCATTTCGTAAGTCTTTTCAAACTTTGGGTAAGGCTATGAAAAACATTTGTCACAAAAAATTTTTCACAATCTAATTGAAAAAAATTTTCTTATCCACTGGATCTGCGAATATTAGTTAAAGTTAATACAGTTAGCGCGTCAATTATCATGTACCGCCATACGCTTAACTACGAATGTTCATAGAGCCGCACTAATGTTCAGTGCGGTATTAATTGTATTCGAGATTTGCATATCCGGTCGAATGAGATAACAGCTGTGCTCAACCAGCATGCAGTTCTCAACATGCTCGTAATGCGAGCAATTTATATTAAATTTCAACAAAATTAAAGGTCTTTTTCTATGCATAAAATCATGAAGAAAGTTTTTAGAAGAATAAAGTATTTTCGCGCATATCGGACAGAAGTAGGAGGGATTTGTGAGTCAACTCATTTATATTACTGACTGCATCAATATTATTATTAAAATTATATAGATATTGAAAAAGGAAATTTTCTTGGATCTCACAATGACTTGTTACGTTCGTGCACATCAGTGTATCTTCGAAATTCATACAAATACTATTCAGCGCATGGTTACCGAAGTAATAACTGTGGAAACGTGATAAGAAAAATGAATAAAAAATAATGTTCAATAATTATATAGTGTCAAGTGCGCATCTATGTGTATGTGTAGGCGATCGACAATGATATGATCATGCAGAAAATTCCTGATGAGTCCGATCGAAAATCTGCAGCCGCAACGTGCTAATCCGACGAGTCTCTCGTCGGTAGTTTTTTTGCAAATCCATATAGAGAAAAAGTAATTACACGGATTATCAGCCTACATATACACGTACTCATTCTATTTTCATTTTTATCCGATGACTAGAGAGTATGATTATATTGTAAGTATGGTATTAATTTCTTTCAAGAATATTTGAGCGTTACACTATTAGAAATGTAATCACGAGCTTCCTTTACATACTCGTGGTTATGAACAAAATTAAAAATAATAAATGATTTAACTGAAAATTAAGTTACAGTAGTTACTTAAATGTAAAGAACATGTATATTAAATTTATGAGATTTAATGATTACTTTTTTCATTAAAAATTTTGTAAAAAGTACATTAAAATTCATAAATTTTCATAAAAAATATATTAAATTTCATGTACACAAATGTACTTTTCAGTTACAAATATATTAAATTTAATGTAATGTCATGAAATTAAGTACAAATTGTGTAACTTAAAAGTATATTAAATTTCATGAAATTTTTAATAGTGTACGCAAAAAGTAGTAAAAAAATCACAAAAAATACGCAAAAAAATTTTGATATTTTTGCATTTAAACAATTCATCAGTAGTTTACTTACTTATGGAAGGAAGTATATGATTAGATGAATCGTTACTTCTTTATGATTTTATGTATATCGCTTATGCAAATTTGAGCCGAATTGAAGATTGAAAATCATATCGCACATAATAACAAATTTTTAAATAAATTTATTTTCTATGTAAATCTCAAAAAGCGGGGGTAATCATTATATTGTATTTTATAGGATAACTGTACATTATACTTGATCTTAAAAGTTGGCTTGCGTAATGCAAGCATGACGCTAGAAGAAATGAAACAGGGAGACAATGGATGATAAAGATAGAAAAATTATTTCCAACTCCATCAGTGACAAATTTGTAGGTGACAAAATCCTGACGCAGCTTATATTAAATCTACGGAGAAATAGAAAATGTCAAACTCTTCAAGATTCTCATTTTCCAAGCATTTAATTCCATACGATGAAAAAACGAGAGAGGAAAAGAGAGAGGGAGAGGAAGAGAGTTTATTACCGTTTTAGAAAATAAGCTTTTAAGAACAACACAAAAAAATAAATAACAAAAAACATAAGAAAAATAAATGTGAAGTACAAAGAAGAAGTAGAACAACAGACAAAATTAATAATATAAAATAACAAAAGATAAGACATGTAAAGAAAAGAAAATATAGAGATAAAATTAAAATTTGTGATAAGGAAAAAAGAAAGGAAAAGAAAGAAAGAGGAGGATGTGAGTTGCGAATTTGACAGTGAAAGGGAAAGGGATGATGGAATGACAGACAATGAGTGTAAAATTGAGTTAATTCCCAAAGTAGGACAGAATAACGAGTTTTAGCTCCAATGCACTTACTATCATTGTTTCATTTTACGTTTTCTGATGCTAATTTCTTCATCATTGTTTTGCGACTTGCTACGAACCGTCCTGCGCCTCGCTCCTTGTTTAACATTTAATTAACTCGACGGGCCTACCGGTCGATTTATTATTGCTCTCAGCAGATCTCAAATTAAATGAAATTGGCTGCTGTATAATTTTCTCAATTCGCCAAATACGTCCTGTTCAATGCCGAAATTTTTCAGATCAAAACTTTCATTTCATTTGCATTATAACGATATGGTTTTTATATCTAACTACAATAAGAAAGACGTCTTCTCAAAATATGACATTGCATGAATAACTTAATCTCGTTTACTTCATTTTCAGTTTTCTTTTTGTTCTGCTTTAAAATATTTTTTATTAATAAATATTTTATATATTTATTAATATTTTATATATAGTAACAATTATTATTGATTTCAGATGTATACAAGAAGTATTAATATACGTAATGTGCTTTATTTAGCAATTTTGCTTAGACAAAATCTAATTTTTGCAGAGTTCTCTCTGGATGTATGGAAGCCGTCTCATCCGTTCGAGATGGCATTCGGGCGGACAAGAAGCACGGTTTCGCCCGTTTTGAGAATATTCCTGAGGGCAACGTTCAGATTGGCAACGTTCCTGAAACGAGCGGCCAAGAAGCTGACGATAACGTCGGGGGGATAAAACAAATCGCGGTTGGCAGATTTGAAAATCCCTTATACAGATCCAAGAGAGACAAGGCGAAAGAAAGTAAAATTCTCGACATAGATGCGCCTCTCAGTCTCACTGCTCTAAAAGGAAAGATAGAAGATCAATTAGAAAATGAAGAGATGGATACTGAGGAATAAGAGTAACAGAAATAAAAATCTACGTTTTCACTTATATATTCATATGTTATATTGCGATTAAATTTTATTATGATGATATTATGATCCTAATCAGGGAATGGAAGAATTATTATTTCATTATTTTAGCGGTTACTTTTTAATAACAATTTGATAATGATGTTGCAATTTTTTATGACTTTAATGATAACTAAACGCTGAGATTGCGCTAAGATTGGGAAAGTCACTTTAAAAGATAACTTCCATCATTACTGTTTATTTACTGAAAAAAGTAATTTATAACAAATAACGAATAATGTTTCCTCGTTACAAATAACTAAGAAATAACGACATTACAAATACTAAATTAATTTTTTTTAGTAACGAGTTACTTTTCCAACTCGTTACAAGTAACAATCAAGTGATTTTTCCAACTGCTTACATTATGGTCTAACAGTCTCTAACGGTGATTTGCTAATTCGCATACTGCTTATGTTTTATTACTTAGTTTTTTGTATGCCATGGTGTAAGGCTTATTATATAACGCATAAGACATAAGAAAATTAAACAATCAGAATCCTTCATTTTATACTCTGATTGTGATTGAGTCTCTTACAGATATCTTATACGTTATGCATACATTCATGCAGATATACAAATTTGTTTGGATATACTTTTAAATATGAAATGTAACATTTCGTTTTAAAATGACAAATATTTTTCCTTTAAAATCAAAGGAAGAATAAATAAAAATAGTCATTTTTATAAAAAAAATAATTTCGATTGTGTATAGCATATAGATTGTGATCAAAGTCTTGTTATAAATGCTTTGAAGCGTTTGCTGGATCAATTAGAAGAAAGAATTTTACAAACTGATCAATTAAAAAACGCTTCAAAGCGTTTGCAACATTGTTTGACCATACTCACAATAATGCGAATCTGTAAATTAAATAAAACATTTGATGCTGGTTTACAAAGATTTATTTTTTTATTGTCGGACAACATCCACATTCGAAGATGCAGCACCGCGCTTTATAATATAGATACTCCCACGTAAATTCGATATGCGTCTAATATGTATTTATATTTATGTTATCTTTGTTAAAATATATATATATATACATATATATATATATGTGTGTGTGTGTGTGTGTGTGTGTGTGTGTGTGTGTGTGTCTGTGAGTGTGTGTG